ATCGGCACCGAGTGCGCTTGGGCTGTTGATGCTCATGACTTTCATCCGCAGCTTGTCGCCAGCTGATTCTGCTGCTCAACGGTGAGGAAGCGGCGAGAGTGACCTCTGGAGTGAATGTAAATCCTCGTTCGTTCAGTTATCTGGTGAACAGACTTTGGAGCTTGTGCAAGGTTCTGAGGGAGTGGGTCTTTTGCGGCAGCGGCAGCACCAAGCGAACATCGCTAACCACGTACCAAGCCTATTACAGGTTGGTAACAACTCTATTTCATTACTTTAGCCTAACTTCTGCTGCTGCTGCTGCCGCTGCTGCCACTATTGCTGTGCTAGTGTCTGAGCTTGTGTTTCTTTAAACTAGCAGAAATAGCTGACACATGTTCCTCATATCATTGGCCAGAGTACGAAACGGATATGTTCGTAGAATGCTGCGAATGTGAGTGCAAGTATCATTTCGGTAAATGGGCCGGTGTGACCAAGAAATCATTGCGTGGGAAAACCGAGGCCGCTAAAAAGTGCTGGCGGTGCCCAGCATGCAGGAGTGGTGGATTGCAGGCTAGTGGCGGTGAGGAACATCAGCCTGAAGTCGATATGAGAAATCTTCCCTCATCTATCAACCGGGGGGTTGGAAATCCTCCCCTTTTGAAGAGAAGGTAGACAGTATAGAGCTGTCCATCCAATTCATGTCTAAAAGCCTTGATGGAATCAAACAGAACCTCAATTCTCAGATGACCGAAATAAAAAAAAACCTAGAAAGAGAGTAACAGAACTGTAAGAAAAGGATGATAAACGTAAACACGTACAGGATCAGCTCCTGCAGGAGGTTAATGAACTCGAATTTCGGGGCAGGCGTCCCAAACTACAGGTTCATGGGACCCCTGCGGCGCAGGGCGAGAATCTGATTCCTTCGTTGAATGAGGTTGCTAACAATCTGGAGGTACCTCACCTCACCGAGTCCGACATTTTATCGGTTCACAGGCTACCCGCTAGAGAACGAAATTTGCCCGGAGTGATTATTCATTTCGCGAGGCAACAGACTGGAGATGGATGCCTAAAAAAACGAAATAAACTAAAGAACAATGCCCCTTCGGTTGTTCATTTAAGAGAATTTGACACGGCGTAATCGGGAGCTTCTTCGAGCAGCTAAAAACGCGCCAAAGCGAAGAACTACGCTTATGCATGGCATACAAACGGATAAATTCTTGCCCGAAAAACTGAAGGAGCACGCGCTGTTCTCATCAAGTGCAGCGATGACCTTGACAACTTGCAGATAACTCGGAGCCCAAATAAGTTTTGACGAAAATGATTGTGTCACCCCCAGTAGATTGAAGATACTACGAGGATTCATTTTTCAATCTAACATATCAAAGTTATTATTCACATATTTCCTCGATTAATTTTAATCCCAGGAGCATAAACAATAAACAAGACTATCTAAAGTTGTTTTTTGAATCATTATGTATAAGTACAAAACGAGCGTGTTGCTAACAGTAATTAAACATGAGGAAGATACGAGAAAGGTGTATCTTCCTCATGTTTAATTATGTATAAATCTTGATGCTTTGCTTTGTACGGAAACGTAGATCCCTAAAAGTCGGAGCCTCCTCATTTCACTGGCCATAAATGCACCCCCCCCCCCCCCCCCCCCCCCCCCATTCTGGGCAGAAAAAATGCAAAAGGAGGCAGGGTAGCAATTTTTTAAGAGAATGCATTTCTTGATTTGTGTTAGATGCGTTTTCCGCTACCTCGACAGACGTCGAGTCTCTTGTTTTAGACGCCGAAAGTACTGTTATTTGTGTTGATTATATGCCGCCGACTGGAGACAAATCTCAGTTTATATCTTACTGTGAGGACAGTCTTGGGGTTCTTGGCTCAACAGCTAAGCCCTTCTTTATAATGGGCGATATAAATATCGATTTCCGTAAAAAAGAAAAGCACGCGTTTGAATTACAAAATGGCTTGTGTACCTTGTATTAATACTGTGACACTACCCACCGGGGTATCCTCGGATGTCGCGACTTATTTCGGCGTATGTATAACAAATTAAAGCACTCACGAGGTTTCTCCTGGCATTTTTACACGCGACATAAGTGACCATTTACCTACTTTTTGTTTTGCACCTGTGGTGGCGAAGCAAGGAAAGGAACCGAACACGACGAAGCTCGGGCCAAGACTATTTTTTATATCACCGTCACGCGCTTGTTGCCTTTTAGCCCCGCGCACCCGCATTCGGTGGACATCCTTTTCTTTGATGCTCTGTCACCACACACCTTTTATACCCTCGTTACACGGGCGCACTTAACTGCAGTTACGCTAAGTCACAGTTAGCGCACAATACTTGCGGACAACATTCTGCGGCTATGCAGTCAAAGCAATGGGCGAACGTGCGCTTGAGCATCTTGAGCATCTATCGAAGCAGTACGCGCGCGCTCTTCACTTCTTCTGAAATAGCTGTCAGAGAGTCCAGTGCGGTATCTGTGGTGCCGCGCAACAGCAGTTAAGATGAGTTAACCGCGGTTAAGTGTGCCCGTGTAACAGGGGTATTAGAGTGCAGCTCTTAGGGGCCCGTTTCCAGCCTCAGCCGGAGGGGGGCCGGGTGCCTCTGATTCCTCGTGACGCCACTGGGTCTACCTAGTGTCACTAAATAAGCTACGCTTCAGAGTAACGACACTTGGCCATATTGTGGCTTAAAATCATGGTTGCCAGTTATCTGAAGCTTTATCTGAAATCACAGGAAATGCTTTTCCGCCCTCCACAAATGTTTAAACCGTTCGCGACAGAGCAAAGCAATATTACATGACCTTCCTAACACCGAATCTAATGCTGAGGAAGTCGCACTTTTGAATCATGAGGATCGGCCGTTGCGTCTGTTCTGCATACGAGCCAAAATGGCGGCGCCCACAACAATGTCGGGGAACGGAGTGCCGATACTCTAAGCGCAGCTTATTTAGTGGCTCTAGGTCTACCCACACTCCTTCGATCAGAGCCAATCAGAGCTCGGCGTTCTGACGTCACCCCAACCCCTGTAAAATAAGCAGACGAACTTGCGCTCCGCATACGGTGTGCAAGTTCGTCTGCGTCTTGCGTACCTTGTGCGTTTGTTTTCCCCCGACTTCAACCAATGATGGCGCGAGCTTCGCTGCATAGTCATCGTTGCGTTATCTGCAATGCTGTTTGGTTTGGCGCCATCTAGCGACTGAAGCAAGAAATATTGGGTACCCCTGGGAGTGGCGCCTGCATTGTTCAAACGTGAGCTTTTACTCTTGTGGCGCCGCTGAGCCTAGTGTCTGAAGCAAGAAATACTGGGTATCCCAGGAAGCCGTGATCGCGTAACGTGCCAGTACAGCGGAAGCTACGGCTCTGGCGGGCCAATCGGAACGTGACTGCGTATCACCGGAGCGCGCCTCAACTCCGAAGAAGTATCAGGCTTTTCGCTGCGTCATGCTCCAATATGTGTGCGTTGCGCTCGTATACGTCGCGCATTTCGAAGTCTTCGGCACGCAATGTGGGGCTTATCGTTCGCCGTTTGCCAAGTTACAACGAGATAGGGTGTAACCGTGCGCTTACGTGCGGTGTCACCCTGCTGGCGCCGCCTGGCCGTTGCCGGCTGCCTATGTGTTGCCCTTTGATCGGCTAGGGTACCCCTCTTCGCGTTCCAATGGGCGCGTTCAGTAGCGGCCCCGGAGTCAAGGAGTCACTGACTCCTTCCACTGGACGGCCAAAAGTCACTTCCGGTGCACGTAACTCCGGGGCTTCGGAGTCAAGCTCCGAAGCACCGAGTCCGGAGACGGTGCACGTAGAGTCAAAGGAGCTAAAATGACGTCATTTCCTGACTGGTGACGATTTCCGGCGCTAAAAGAGTAAAAAACAAACAATATGGCGGGATAAGCTGCTTCGGTTCCGTAGCGGGTGCGCGGTTTGCTCGGTTTTGTTAATGAAAAGTGCTCAAGGTAAGACGAATAACGCGTTCGAATATCTTTTTGAGGTAAGGCTCTTTCGGAAAATGCATTGGACCGTATTTGGTTTGGTTTGAATATGCTAATAAACAACGCAAACGTTCATTTGACGCGCCGTCTCTTGATCGCCGTTGCACGGAAACTCGGTAATATTGACGATAGTCCTGTCCGCGCTCAACAGAGAAAAACAGGGTATGAACGCAACTTTGGAAGCCGGTTGGACACTCACGCAGAGCATGATACCGATTAATGTTTTGCTTGCGTAGCTAAATCGGGGTGCACGTTGGCTGAGGCTCGCTTCGGCCGACAAAACCTTGATCGCCGAGCGCGGCCGAACTTCCCGTCTGTATACACAACGAAGGGCAGAACAAACTTATGGCCGTATAAAAGTATCGCAACCGGCGGGGTAGATTCGCTGAGCTCGGTATTCCGCGTGTACTGACGACGATTTTTGTCGGCTTTTATAACAGTAGCTGACTTTGCACCGCCAAGCGAAGGGCTCGATCGCGTTGCATCGCTTCGAACAGCAGCGCTGATGTGTACAATCACCCGCTTTTTCTTCAACGACCTTGTAAAGACTTCTTCAATACCGGCGTCAAATAAAAGCGATCGTGCTCGCCATCGTCTGCTTCCAGTTTATTCGGAGACCGTCTGGCACAGGGGAGGAAGCGGAAACTGCGTAGAAGCAGGTTTGGAGCCGCGGGTTTTTTTGCCGTTCAGTAGGCGCTCCGATGACTCCGACTCGAGGCACTCCGTTCGGAGGCAAGGGAGGCGCTACTGAACGCGCCCAATGAGCCAAAGACGCATTTTAGGACACTTGCTCGCCGTATTGTGTGGTCGTTGTTCAGTGTAGCCGTGGCGCCGACGGTACTCCTGCGTTCGTTGCGCTCCCGCACACGCCTCGGAGAGCAGGCGGCTGCCAGGCTGATTCCGCTGAAATTTGCTTTGACGGTGAACAAGCATCGTCGATTTTGACGGTGCGCCGCCGTCTCTGCCCACCGAAGGCCTCCTCTTCTCTCACCCTCGTCCGGGTCTCCCGCTCAATGATTTGTCGCTAGCGCCCTCTCTCCTTGCGGCGGCATCTGAAAAGAACGAGCTCACGGACGGGCCTAAGGAGAGTCGAGTGGGGCGCCGACGTCGCTTTCGTGGCCGATGGTTGCTGACGTTGGAGCCGCCGTGTTGGTCCGCGGGTCCCAGCGTGCGTGCGTGTCAGCCGACCTCTCCGGTAACGGCCGCTCTGCTCGGACTCAGACGGCGGCAGCATGGAGCTTCCCCTGGGAGACGTGGTGAGCCCCCAGTTCGCCTTCCCCATCGTCGGCGTCATCGTGTGCGCGCTGCTGGTCTTCGCCTTCGGCTTCAAGTCTCCCAGCTTGCCGCCCAGCTTCGTGGACGAAGAAGAAATCCAACGTGCGGACGCCAAGAAGCTAGCAGCCAAGAAGAAGAAGCAGGCCAAGGAAGCGCAGAAGGTACAACCCGACGCGACAACTTAAAAGCGGGAGGGTCAACGGAACCTTTATCTGTTGGTTCATCTATCTTTTTTTTTTTTTATTTCGGGGAAACCTGTTGACTGCGTGAAGGGCTCGGTTGAAACGAGTTCTCGGGTCCTGCCATATGCGAGCTCCGAAAACCGGATCAACTCTTTCGGGCACGCCGCTCGCGCCTTCCCTAAATCCCGTCCTCGGAGCTTGCGCCCATCAACAATTCCAAATAAGAAAAAGAAGAAACAAAAATTACTTCCTCAATCTGTGCCCGGATCATCGCGGTCCTCCGCCATCCGCCACAACCCGACCGCCGGAAGGCGAGGTGCCGCTGACCTAAGGTCACGTTGCGTCGCCGCTACTTTTTTTTCGTCGAATCTCGCCTAAAAAGAAATCGGATTACTAGCGTTTATTCGATTAAGGGAACCGCAGCAAACCTCCTTAACCCGATCTTCTGTTGATCCGTTTTCTCGTGCAGTGGCTACTTAGACTGAGCCAGCGTTATCTTCTTTTTTATCCTCTCCTCTTACTTTCGTGTCCACGGCAGCGCTAGTTGGAGCCTCCGGAAAGATTAGATGGGTTTTTGTGTCCGAGTGGCGTGGAAGCGCACGGATTTTTGCCGCGTGCGCTACTGTACTGCCTCGGCTGCTCTTCGTTGACGGTTCCTGCCCTGCTTGACCTCAGATTCCCTGCTGTGCTACAAGGGCAGATTTTTTCCCCCGATCAGGAGGTTTCATCTCTCTTTCTAAAAAGAGAAAAGAAAACATTACGGTATGGGAAAAAAAAATAATTAATCGTTGCACGTGCTACATCCCTACCCTGGCACATATGTAGAAATGATCAGGAATAATTAATCGTTGCACGTGCTACATCCCTACCCTGGCACATATGTAGAAATGATCAGGAATCGTTTTAAAGTTACCGTCCATAAAAAAAGTTTTTTTTCTTTTGGAAAGGGAGAAAGGGGGGGGGGGGGGGGGGGCGTTCGATAATCTGTTGAATAAAACAATGTTTCATGAAACATATATTTATGACCTCTGCAAGATTGAAGTCACCAGGGGCAAGGGACCCATGTGCCTTTCAGATTCTTTGGTTGGATGATTTTCTAACGCTTCAAATAAAAAAATTATGTTTCAGAGAATGGTGGTTAATGGCACAGATGCAGTTTGAGTTATCACTAACAGTCCTTTGTGAACTAGCTAGTAGTACAGAGAACTAGTTGTCAGGAGCTGATTTTGTTTCTAGTCTCTCCTCACCTTTGACCCTCCATTGTGATTGACAGTTCACTGGTATGTTTTGTCAAGGAGATATAGACAAGTGGGTGTGATAACCTTCTGCTACCATAGCACAATATGCTAGCCAAATGGTGCAAGCCATTTCCCATTTTGTTGGAATAACCAATAGTGACAGTTCTATAAAATAATCGAACCTGTGGTCAGCATGTGTGTGTGCATACTAGCGTTGTGCTGCATCGAACCAGAACCTAGTTGCTACTCTTCAAAGTGTCAAACTCATCTGTACGATGACAGTGGAGTACATGCTACATACACCCTTAACCTTTGAAGTGTCGGTCACCCACTTTCGGTGATGTAGCGTTCGTGGTATTTGTACTAGCTCAGAGGTGGTGATGGGCCTTTTCTAGTTGTGGACAGCATTCCCTGTCATCTATACATGTTTGCAAGCGAGCACACTTCAAAGACTAGTCTGGCCGTCATGACAGGGAAAACGATCAACACACATACCACATACGAGACTGGCAAGTGCGGGCACGCCTTATTGAGGCTCGAAGGTTGGATGGTGTAGCAAAATGGCAATGTCCAGGGGCCCGTACAAACCTGTATAGGCACTGAGTTTGCCAGCAGACACCCAAAGCGGGGAGTCCTCAGCTTACAGAGGTTGCTTCAAGCTGTCGACTGATATGTGTTGTGAAGTAAGACCATTTCTTGCCAGCACTTCTGAAAAAAGTTATATGTGGCTGTCTGTCTCCTTGTTGCCATAGGCAATTACCGTAAAATCCGTACAAGTGTGGTTTCCCGTTCAGTTTTTCTGGCTAAATGTACATAGGCTAAACATTCGGAAACATTTCCACTGGACATCACGTGATGTCCAGTGGAAATCGGATCAACTGCGTGATCTGCGGCATCGGTACATGTCACAGGCGAGTTTGTAGCAGATTCCCGCGTGATTATCGCACCATGGAACCCAAGTTTGCCATGTCCATGATCTGTTTGCCCGATATCGGTTTCCTTGACAGAGGAGTTTGTAGCAGGTTCCTGCATGTTAGTTGCACTTTGGAACACAAATCTGTCACGTCCGCAATCTGTAGTACGAGTTCCCGTGAAACGAGGGTTTGTGATGAGTTTCTCGCATGTTTATCGCATCGTGTTTGTGCCCTGAACATATCTAGTAACAGTCAGGTCAGATATACAGCGTAAAATCCTGTATCAGTTCCCCTATCGTGCGGTTGATAGCGGGTGCCGTGGTATTTACCTAATTTTCGCTGAACTCACGCTGTCTCATTCTCAAAGATCGCCCACCCAATATTTTTCACCATTTATCTCCAAAATGGGTGAGCATTCATTCAGAATTTGACGTAATATCTGTTACCCTCCTATGTCTGCCTTGCAGAACAAGCCTCAGTCTAACGGCCATGCACCCACAGTGTCGCCTAAGGCAGCTCCAGTTCCAGCCAAGCCAAAGGCTTCGGAGAAGGCCGCAGCTCCTGCCAAGCAGAAGACGGAAAAGCTTGATGCCAAGGTGAGATGTGTTCACGCTTCGTATTTGTGCCCTGAACATCTCTAGTAACATTCGGATCAGACGTATACATGGCTTGCACTGACGTCACATCACATACTTTTGACCACCATGTAAGAGGAGGAGAGGGAAGCTGCTTTTGTAGGAATTTTGAGTGACGGGTTAAAGGGGTTATGAAACGAATTTTGGGGGATGGGATAAATTATTTTAAATTGGGACTTTACTAATCGCATATTGTTAGTTGGCCAAAAGAAAGAGGGTAGAAAGTTAAAAGCCAGCTTTTCGATACAAACATTTGAAAATATAGCGGTCTATTTTGTACCTCCTTTCCTTCGAAAGCTCTCCGCCTTTTCACTATGATACATCCGCGGTTCCCAAAGCGCGTTAGCGGTGCCAACCTGACGTCAGCCGAGCCCAGCTCACGCATTGGACACGAGAACTGCGTCACTTGGACGTATGCGCTCGTCAACAATAAATCCGTCGACGAATATTCGGATTTGCGTTCGTGGCCAATGAGTGCCCAGACGGAACTTATTGTCACTGGGGAATGACAAGTTCTATGGTGGGCATAAAAAGCACGGTGGAAGCTAGGAGTCATCGCACCGGTGCCGAAGAATGTCACGAGGACGTGATTTCACAATTCGCATTTGAGTTGAGGATTAAAGCTAAGGAGGAAGAAGCAGGAAAATCGTTTCATGACCCCTTTAATCTTCTATAATCTTCTAGGAGGAGAATAGCGACGTTTGAGCAAGTCCGGGAGACACAAAAGAGGATCCTGCTAAGAGGGGAGCTCCTTCTTCCCCTCTTCTCTGGTGTAGTGTATAGTGTGAAATCTTGTAGGGATGCCTTCCACCGAGAGATTGCCCATCCCCTTTTTTTGACTAAAATGGATAAAAATTTCAAAAGAGCACCCATTGAACATTGCGCAATATCCGACAAGAATCACATGAACCACGCAATCTGCGGAATCGGTGTGCATGGCAAGCAAAAATTTAGAATTTAAAATTTAGCTCTTTTTGGTGCCTATGGGAGAAAGATTATTACAGTTAGACGTGTGCAGTTGCTATAGGGGCCACTTCGTTTGAACAATAACGACGATTCATGATAGGAGCATGATGTGGAAAATAGTAGTAAATCTTTGGCATGCACTGCTGTCAGTTTGTTTTTAATTCAAATAAAATATAGTTTATACGGAGCTGAATTCTTGCATTAGTGAGGGAAATATCTAATTTTTTTCGAGAATTGTAGATTTTCGAAAAAAATTTTGCAGAGGATTTTGCAGATGTTTTTGCAAACATCTGCAAAATCCTGCCGATTTTGCAGATGTTTGCAATGCAAGAACAAAGAGCCGTACCTATGTATACTCTACTTTGTGTAATTTCTTCTGGTTGAGACAGACACACACACCATAATAAAGCGAGGCGGCTACCGAAAGGAATGACCCGCTATTGTTTGCAAAAATTACCGGGGAAATGTTTGAAGACACGTTGCTTTATATTTCAACCTACCAGTACAAAACTTCCACTTCTCGTGGGTTCAAAAGCACAAAAACCTTAGATGAAGACGGAGTTCAAAGCCCCAGTAAAAATTATGGCAAATCTTAGGGGCTGCCAGTGCATGGAGTATATCAGCTGTACAAAAGATTTGAGCCGCCATTTTGCTGTAGCTAAATATGACAGAGACTCGCCAAAGTTTTGTAGTTGGCCATCTTCATTGCGTGTCATTTCACTTTTGGCACAAATAAGGAGCGTTGCTTCGTGGTAGTGATAATACGGATGTTCTTGAGGATGCTGCTTGAGTGCGCAATATTGTTTTGGTTAAAATCACCGTGCCTCTACTTTTAGATTCGTACGTGATGCTGTTCCTATTGTTTTTATGGTTGGAAGAGTCTACTACTTATGGGAAGTCCTTTTACTGCGTTTTACGTGGTTGTAGTCTAGTGCTATAATCTTCATTCCTTTCTCTTGACGCAAGATCCCGCAAAAGCCTAGCTCAGTCTGAAAATGCGACGATAGCCAACAGTGTCCGAGCCCAGCTTTGCGAGCAGTCTCTCCCATCTGCTTGCTTGCAGTCTCAGTCATCCAAAAAGGTGACGCAGCCAGAGAAACGCCCTGCAACAAAGGGAAAGAAGGCCGGAGAAAAGGAGAAGGCACCCGCTGAGGCGGCCGCACCTTTGACAGCCGAGGAGAGCAGTGGTGAGTCCTTCTACAGTTCCATGAAGCCAAAGGCTCATTCACACACGTGCGAGCACAATGCCACCATCTGTTGGGTAGCTGTGAAACGCTCACCATTTCCATATATTTCCCGTCATTTTTGTGCATTTTACCATTGGCTCGAAAAAACTTGTCAATACTATAAACTATCATTTCTCGTAGATAGCATGCACTTAACATCTCTCAAATACTGCAAAACTCTGGCTCTAGTAAAATGCGATTCCAGGGCTACCCCCTGGGTGGCGTCAGTGTGCCAGCACGATCTCTCGTCTTAAGGTATTGCGAGAGGTCGTAACCCACTCACTCCTAAGGAGTTGCAGGTGTGCTAACCAGCCCTTAGCTGTGGTTCGGCAAATGCAATAAGGAAAAAAAAAAAGGACCCTCGAGGCAAGAGAGATGTGGCCAGAATTTGTCAAACTCTAGCATAAGAATGCGCAGGGAGGAAAATATTTTCTGCCCTGCTGAAGATTTCACGAGCTAACCTTTGAGAGCATAAAACATACTCGTAGTTTCTTAAGACAAGAAGAGATGAAACAATAGGAGACAGATTGTTTGTAATTAATGACCCCGTTTGTAATTGTCGTTCATTTTTCTTTATATATCTTTTTATTTATTCTTTTATTTTTTTTTTGTCTTGTGGAATTGTAAAATAACTTAGCAGCTTGCCCGTCTTTTACGATTCCTCCCGAGATTCGAGGCTTCTATACTCAATTTTTATGCTTAGTGCATGATGCTGCCAAAGTTGCTGGCACGACCAGGTGGATTAGATGAACATTTGGTTCGCACCGGCTCTCGTCCCAGTGAGAAATGACACAAAGGCTTGTGCCAGTAGCTTTGACAGCGTCCTGCACCAAGTGTGAAATAGAGCATACCGTACAATACTGAGCATCCACCCATTCCAAACTAAGTGCCCACCCCAAAATTTTGCAGCATCTGAAAAAATATGCACAGTAGATATATAGGTAAAATTAATGACCTAACAAGCGCCCATTCCCCTATTTTTGCGATTATCTTCATATTTTGAGTGGGCGCTTGCTCGGTATTTTACGATAGGCTTATTTGTCCCATTCTTTTCATGGAGCAGCGCATGTTCTTGAGTCATTGCCTCACTATACGCCTTGCTTTTGTGAACAGCTCCTTGGCTTCAGCGCCTATAGTCCGTTGCAACTCAAGAAGGTGGGGCGAGGGAAAGAAAGACTGGGGAGGAGGAAGCAGACTGAATGCTGGAGAAGAGAGGGGGAAACCTCCCCCTCCAATGTTCCACCTGCTTCCTCCTCCCCGGCCTTCCTTTCCCTCGCCCTACCTCCTTGAGTTGCAACGGACGATAGTGAAAGGGAAGTGTGGACGGCATAGATGACAACCAGCTCATTTATTAACTCTTTCTCGATCGCGCCCATAGGCCATCGATCACCGGTGATCAATGGTTTCCAAGTGCCGTCAAGAAAGTCAAGTTAATGAGGAGACTCATGTTCCACAATCTCTGGGATAGCCGAAGAAATGTAGTTTCAGTTTCAACGTAAGTTTGAGCTTCATCGCAAGCTGGTGGGCTGTCAAAACTAGTCCTGAGAACAGTGGTTGCACTTGTCTAACATGGCTAATTACTTGCATCAGTCTTCTTAACAAAGATGGCATTATTTACATATTTTAACAGTATTGTGGCATGTTTTTTAGACCTCAAGAGCCCTGGGGACCCCTCAAATGATGTTATATACATTGCCTAACAGATGGTTGACTTTAATATCCAAGGCTGTCCTGAGCCGGCATGCGCGCTTTATGTTCCCAACAAGGTGGGCAAAAATGTTAAATATGAAGAAACTGCAATCAAGGCTATGACGTAACCAAGGTAGAACACAAATAAAGAATTCTGCTGGGTATGTGAGGTCTACTATCTTTTTCACCAGTATTAGGAGAATAAAATTGTTTACACGGATCCTGTGAAAATAGCTCCTTTTCCCGTGGTCAGGAAAGAGTTAAAGGACTCCTTAGTTGACTTGCTTCGTTTGAAGAAGCAGATAAGCCGGCATTTGCGAAGCGTCATTTGAGCTCCTTGGCGGGACTCTTCGAAGGATGTCTTCCAAATAGGCAAATGTCGGCAGGGTTCAGGATGTGACGCGATTGAGACTCACTGTACTCCCCCGTTACATGCTGTGCGTATCAAATTGGCCACTTTGTTTTACACGCATGGTGTAAAGCAGTGACCAATCTCTCTACGAGCGGAGTGCTTTGCACTGGTCGCGCTACAAGGGTGAGCGGTTGTTTGTTCTGCAGATGGCTGGGTGCAGCTGCTGAGCAAGAAGGAGAGGAAGGTGCGACGCAAGGAGGAGGAGAAAGTGGTGGTGCCCATCGTGGAATCCGTCGAGGCCGTCACCAAGCCACAGGATGCTGCCGGTACGTTTCTCGGGTGCTCTTTTGAATTGATTGGCATCTGCAAAGGAACACCGCGTACGTCACCCACGTAAAGGAGTGGTAGAGTGCAGCATGTCTTCGGTGTTCTCTAGGACACGGCTTCTTAAAGTTTTTAATCTTGATGAACCTTTTTCTTCCTCAACTGATACCGTGTTTCCACGATTCTAACGCGCCCCCAATTCTGACGTGCAGGCCGATTTAGTTTCCAGATAATCAAAAGGTAAATAGCTGCTGATTCTGCTGCGCCCGCCAACACAAAAATAAATACCGTGCGCTTGTCGTCATTGTTGGAGTCCAACGATGGTTCTTCGCTGTCCACAGAGGTAATCCTTGCTTTCGTCCAAAGTGTTTAAAGTGCCGCGCTTATTGTGCTTTTATGAGTGCTCAATGCACTCGTGCGAGTGCACTTGCCGGTGTCCAAGGGCGAACCTTGGACACCGGCGTGGAAGCCAAGTGCACTGCTGATTGAGCTCGGACCCAGCACGCAGGAAAGGGAGGAGCACAAGCAGGTGGTGTCAGAAAGCGTGCGGAGCGTAAAGGGGTGAAAATGGCAAGAAAGAGAGGAGGAGAAACAGGTAGTCGCCTCTGGGAGGGTCGTCTTCCAAACGACACTTTGCGAGCTCGTCTGGTCGCTAGGATTACGAGGCCACGCAGTACTGCTTCGTTGGTATCTTTTCCCTGCAGCGTGACGGCCTTTCGTTTAAATAAAGCCTCCTAGTGGAGTTCCTTTCGTTTTTCCATCTTAAAGTGGTGGACACCAGTCTATAGACTCGAAAAAAGGCAGGTGATATGGATGCAAAAATGGCAAATGTAAACAAATGGTCACGATGACAATGGCAGTTGTAACGCGTATGTAGTTTTGGGCGTTTGAATCGTGCAAACACAGTAGTCGGAGGACCCCTCCCAGCCTCGTCATTGATTCAGTAAAGCAGCGTAGCCACCTACAGACCTTGTAAGCAATAATGTACATGCTGGAAAGTGTCTGGCTTATAGTTAGGCATCAGTGGGTGACTCAGATCTGCTCATATACATGGTGTCCCCTCAAAAAAAGATGTGCAGCGTTTATTTCACTGCAAAAGTAAACCATGTGTCGCGGAAAGCTCATTCTCCATCCAAATGTAATGCTAGCAGTCTGAGCCATATGGCCAAGTTTGAAAACAATCCATTATGTTTCTAAAAAGTTAAGGGGATTTTTTTTTTTTAATTTTTAATGGTGAAGTGCTGGCAGTTAAATGGGAAAATGGTGACAGAAAATACACGGAGCTGAATGGCACAGTTACCGAAGTTGGACAAAAAGGAGCCTCGTTTTCCCATTGAAAATTTCAGAAAATAATGGCGCAGTTACCGAAATTGGGCAAAAAGGAGCCTCTTTTTCCCATTGAAAATTTCAGAAAATAATGGCGCAGTTACCGAAATTGGGCAAAAAGGAGCCTCTTTTTCCCATTGAAAATTCAGAAAATAATGGCGCAGTTACCGAAATTGGGCAAAAAGGAGCCTCTTTTTCCCATTGAAAAATTCAGAAAATAATGGCGCAGTTACCGAAATTGGGCAAAAAGGAGCCTCTTTTTCCCATTGAAAATTTCAGAAAATAATGGCGCAGTTACCGAAATTGGGCAAAAAGGAGCCTCTTTTTCCCATTGAAAATTTCAGAAAATAATGGCGCAGTTACCGAAATTGGGCAAAAAGGAGCCTCTTTTTCCCATTGAAAATTTCAGAAAATAATGGCGCAGTTACCGAAATCGGGCAAAAAGGAGCCTCTTTTTCCCATTGAAAATTTCAGAAAATAATGGCGCAGTTACCGAAATTGGGCAAAAAGGAGCCTCTTTTTCCCATAGAAAATTTCAGAAAATAATGGCGCAGTTACCGAAATTGGGCAAAAAGGAGCCTCTTTTTCCCATTGAAAATTTCAGAAAATAATGGCGCAGTTACCGAAATTGGGCAAAAAGGAGCCTCTTTTTCCCATTGAAAATTTCAGAAAATAATGGCGCAGTTACCGAAATTGGGCAAAAAGGAGCCTCTTTTTCCCATTGAAAATTTCAGAAAATAATGGCGCAGTTACCGAAATCGGGCAAAAAGGAGCCTCTTTTTCCCATTGAAAATTTCAGAAAATAATGGCGCAGTTACCGAAATCGGGCAAAAAGGAGCCTCTTTTTCCCATTGAAAATTTCAGAAAATAATGGCGCAGTTACCGAAATCGGGCAAAAAGGAGCCTCTTTTTCCCATTGAAAATTTCAGAAAATAATGGCGCAGTTTCCGAAATTGGGCAAAAAGGAGCCTCTTTTTCCCATTGAAAATTTCAGAAAATAATGGCGCAGTTACCGAAATTGGGCAAAAAGGAGCCTCTTTTTCCCATTGAAAATTTCAGAAAAGAATGGCGCAGTTACCGAAATCGGGCAAAAAGGAGCCTCTTTTTCCCATTGAAAATTTCAGAAAATAATGGCGCAGTTACCGAAATTGGGCAAAAAGGAGCCTCTTTTTCCCATTGAAAATTTCAGAAAATAATGGCACAGTTACCGAAATAGGGCAAAAAGGAGCCTCTTTTTCCCATTGAAAATTTCAGAAAATAATGGCGCAGTTACCGAAATTGGCCAAAAAGGAGCCTCTTTTTCCCATTGAAAATTTCAGAAAATAATGGCGCAGTTACCGAAATTGGGCAAAAAGGAGCCTCTTTTTCCCATTGAAAATTCAGAAAATAATGGCGCAGTTACCGAAATTGGGCAAAAAGGAGCCTCTTTTTCCCATTGAAAAATTCAGAAAATAATGGCGCAGTTACCGAAATTGGGCAAAAAGGAGCCTCTTTTTCCCATTGAAAATTTCAGAAAATAATGGCGCAGTTACCGAAATTGGGCAAAAAGGAGCCTCTTTTTCCCATTGAAAATTTCAGAAAATAATGGCGCAGTTACCGAAATTGGGCAAAAAGGAGCCTCTTTTTCCCATTGAAAATTTCAGAAAATAATGGCGCAGTTACCGAAATTGTGGCAAAAAGGAGCCTCTTTTTTCCATTGAAAATTTCAGAAAATAATGGCGCAGTTACCGAAATTGGGCAAAAAGGAACCTCTTTTTCCCATTGAAAATTTCAGAAAATAATGGCGCAGTTACCGAAATCGGGCAAAAAGGAGCCTCTTTTTCCCATTGAAAATTTCAGAAAATAATGGCGCAGTTACCGAAATAGGGCAAAAAGGAGCCTCTTTTTCCCATTGAAACTTTCAGAAAATAATGGCGCAGTTACCGAAATTGTGGCAAAAAGGAGCCTCTTTTTCCCATTGAAAATTTCAGAAAATAATGGCGCAGTTACCGAAATTGGGCAAAAAGGAGCCTCTTTTTCCCATTGAAAATTTCAGAAAATAATGGCGCAGTTACCGAAATTGGGCAAAAAGGAGCCTCTTTTTCCCATTGAAAATTTCAGAAAATAATGGCGCAGTTACCGAAATTGGGCAAAAAGGAGCCTCTTTTTCCCATTGAAAATTTCAGAAAATAATGGCACAGTTACCGAAATTGGCCAAAAAGGAGCCTCTTTTTCCCATTGAAAATTTCAGAAAATAATGGCGCAGTTACCGAAATTGGCCAAAAAGGAGCCTCTTTTTCCCATTGAAAATTTCAGAAAATAATGGCGTAGTTACCGAAATTGGGCAAAAAGGAGCCTCTTTTTCCCATTGAAAATTTCAGAAAATAATGGCGCAGTTACCGAAATTGGCCAAAAAGGAGCCTCTTTTTCCCATTGAAAATTTCAGAAAATAATGGCGCAGTTACCGAAATTGGCCAAAAAGGAGCCTCTTTTTCCCATTGAAAATTTCAGAAAATAATGGCGCAGTTACCGAAATTGGCCAAAAAGGAGCCTCTTTTTCCCATTGAAAATTTCAGAAAATAATGGCGCAGTTACCGAAATTGGCCAAAAAGGAGCCTCTTTTTCCCATTGAAAATTTCAGAAAATAATGGCGCAGTTACCGAAATTGGCCAAAAAGGTGCCTCTTTTTCCCATTGAAAATTTCAGAAAATAATGGCGCAGTTACCGAAATTGGCCAAAAAGGAGCCTCTTTTTCCCATTGAAAATTTCAGAAAATAATGGTGCAGTTACCGAAATTGGGCAAAAAGGAGCCTCTTTTTCCCATTGAAAATTTCAGAAAATAATGGCGCAGTTACCGAAATCGGGCAAAAAGGAGCCTCTTTTTCCCATTGAAAATTTCAGAAAATAATGGCGCAGTTACCGAAATCGGGCAAAAAGGAGCCCCTTTTTCCCATTGAAAATTTCAGAAAATAATGGCGCAGTTACCGAAATCGGGCAAAAAGGAGCCTCTTTTTCCCATTGAAAATTTCAGAAAATAATGGCGCAGTTACCGAAATTGGCCAAAAAGGAGCCTCTTTTTCCCATTGAAAATTTCAGAAAATAATGGCGCAGTTACCGAAATTGGGCAAAAGGAGCCTCTTTTTCCCATTGAAAATTTCAGAAAATAATGGCACAGTTACCGAAATTGGGCAAAATGGAGCCTCTTTTTCCCATTCAAAATTTCAGAAAATATTGGCGCAGTTACCGAAATTGGCCAAAAAGGAGCCTCTTTTTCCCATTGAAAAATTCAGAAAATAATGGCGCAGTTACCGAAATTGGGCAAAAAGGAGCCTCTTTTTCCCATTGAAAAATTCAGAAAATAATGGCGCAGTTACCGAAATCGGGCAAAAAGGAGCCTCTTTTTCCCATTGAAAATTTCACAAAATAATGGCGCAGTTACCGAAATCGGGCAAAAAGGAGCCTCTTTTTCCCATTGAAAATTTCAGAAAATATTGGCGCAGTTACCGAAATTGGCCAAAAAGGAGCCTCTTTTTCCCATTGAAAAATTCAGAAAATAATGGCGCAGTTACCGAAATTGGCCAAAAAGGAGCCTCTTTTTCCCATTGAAAAATTCAGAAAATAATGGCGCAGTTACCGAAATCGGGCAAAAAGGAGCCTCTTTTTCCCATTGAAAATTTCAGAAAATATTGGCGCAGCT